TGTCAACAAGATGTGTTCGCAACAGGTTTGTAGCAAGCTTGTCAACAAGTTGTAACAATGCTGTTATTTTATCAAGTTGCTACAAGGTTGTCACTCACAACTGTCAGATATTTACCAAATATAGTCATGAGTCTCTTGCTCTTTATCTATATGTAACTTAATATATCAATTACTAATAACATTACAACTAACAATTGTTTCTACTTTAATAACATAAATTACGTAATACATAAGAGCACAACTTAACAAAGTCTACCCTCCTCAACTTGTCAACTAGATGTGTTCGCAACAGGCTTGTAACAAGCTTGCCAACAAGTTATAACAATATTGTTATTTTATCAAGTTGCTACAGAATTGTCACTCACAACTTGTTGACAAATTGTTGAATTGCAGGACGATAACAAGTTGTTGGAACAACTTGTAACAAGTCTGTTGAGCTCAACAACCTTGTAGCAAGTTGTCAACAAGTCGTTGACAACTTGTCAACAAGCTGGGAACAAGCAGTGCGAACACATCCTGTTGGCAAGTTGTTGGAACAGCATTGCTACAAGTCTGCTGCAGGTTTGTTACAACTTGTGCGTTTTTACGCGTGTATAAAGAGCTGGTACTGACAATGGTCAATCTGCGAACCGTGTACTGTGCATTATTATACACGTGCAAAGCGCAAGGCTGAATTAACAACGAAATATTAGAAACGTAACGTTAAGATGTTCCGGTAAAGTTTTTACAAGTAATTTCTACCCGTTTCCCTGCGGTAAACCATGGTCTACACGTAAAAGACAAACGGATACGGGTGTTTCCTGTTTACTATTTGTAGGCCGTTTCAATAGTAAAAAACTTCAACATCTTACTCAGATAAAAAATCAGCACATATGCTCGTCAAAGTTTGCAACAATCTATGGCAAACCTGAAACCTCAACAGAGAAAGTCGCCATTCTCTGATCGTATCGGTTTTGTCACGCCGGAATATCTTGGATTTCTTAAGTTACAAATCGTTCCCCGATTTACTGGTACGTGTACGTGTATATCGCCCGCATCCGTAAACCGGATTATCTTAACTTCTTTATTGCGAAATTTCTGGCCATGCGTGGGGGGAAATAGTTCCCTCCTTGGATCAGTAAACACTTGTCGGCCCATTTTTAATTAACCACGTCCACGCTGAAAAAGTTGGAGAACGAGAGCACTGTGGATTATGTTATACGGGCTGAGAATGCGGCGACAGCGCTACGAACCTCAGAAGAAGTAATAGGCGACACGTTATTAATTGCGATGGTACTCAAGGGACTGCCGAGTAGATTCGAAACATTTTCCGCGATTATTGTGCAACGAGACAAGCGGGAAATGACATTTGGTGAATTCCAGGCCGCTGATTACGTAGGTACGAGGAGAGCGAGAGAAGTCGTAGTAGTGACACTGGGGAGAATGTTATGTTATTTAAGCACAACGAAAAGTCTGGAAATTACGCACAACGAGAAGACTGGAAATTATAGTGGTGCAAAACTCGTAAAACGAAGCAATGTTGAACGAACTCCGAAGGTAGGGAATCAGCGAAGAAAATAGAAGAACAAGAGAAAGGTTTCAATGGACACTCGTTTACATTCACACTAAGTGACAGTAATTCCGAACATTTGGGTAAGAGTATTGATATCGTATATTATAGCAATTTACTTGTAGATGCTGCAGGGTAACAAGTCATATTATTAATGATAAGTCTAAGTTTATAGCCTTTGATGGAAATTTTGATTTAAGTTTCCACGGCATCGAACTTGCTGATAGCAGCAAGGCAAATGTTTTAACAGGTAAGGGCGTAGCAAAGGTGGAGCTTTATGACGTCAACGGAAGCTCACATGACATAATCTGTAGAGGAAGGCGGCAGTATAAGTCTTGATAGGCATGCTAAGCAGTTTAGAAACTCAGATTGCACTGTTTTTTATATAGTCCATGTTGGTCGTTTGTATAATTTGAATAGCATTTCATCTTTGAGAAATAATGCGTATACTCTTACAGTGACATAGGATCCTAGGACACTATAACTTAAGGGATATACGTAAACTAGAGAGCGTTGTAGAGGGAATGAAGACCTCAAGATGAGATTGAATGCAAGATATGCACACAAGGTAAGATGTGACACAGTTGAGAAGTAGAATTTCTGATATAAGGGCTAAAGCCCCATTAGAATTGGTGCATTCTGACCTTGCTGGGCCTGTCAATCCAGTAGGTAAAGATGGTTTTAATTGATGGCTTTATTCCGTACTCACCCCATCATTGTTGCTAGAAGCTAATTTGCCTAAAATGATGTGGACGGATGCTGTTATGGCATTGGCATACATAAGGATCGATGCCTTAACGATAGGCCTGGTAACTGGTAAGACCCCTTATGAAGCTCTATTATTACTGGTTTAAAGCCCAATTCAAGCAACATGCATGTTTTTGGTGTGGTATGCTATGCTTATGTGCAGAATGCTAAAGAGCTGGAACCCTGGAGTAACGAAGGAATTTTGGTGGGAAATGACAAAAAGAGCCCGGCTTACTTAGTCTACTTAGTATATTATCCTGAAAGCAGGAGGGTTGAGCGGATTAGGTGTGTTAAACTCTTTGATTCTTTAAGCCCTGAGAACGAGGTCCTTTCAACTGATGAAGAGGTTAACACTGTGCCTATAGTGCATTGCCTGGTGTAGAGCAAAACTCCAATGTGAATGACGCAGAGAACGAGGCCTTGCCAGAGGTACAAGAGGGTACAACAAGGTACCCAACTAGAGCTCAAACTCTTGTCTAAATGTTGCTGACAATAGTATAAACCATGCTGCAGAGTGATGTTCCAGTCTCCTATTCAGAAGTAGTGAGTTCCCCAGAAGCGACAAATTGGAAAAGGTCTATGGATGAAGAGGTGGACTCTTTAGTAGGTAATGAAACTTTTACACCTGTACCACCCCCACAGGACCGTGAGATGGTGGGGGAGGGGATGGGGTGGGTCTGCACAGTTAAGACCGGCCCCAACAATGAGAAAACCTACAAGGCTAGGTATTATTCCCAAATCCCTGGCGTAGACTATGGTCGCTTTCCATTTAATGGCTTGACCGATCAGACCCGATTTTTTGTCTCTGTATCAATGGAAAGATCTGGTCTATGTTTCTGAAATATCTAGCGAAACTACACTTCCATTCTAATGTTATCCAAATTTTCCGGTCAGATAGGTTCGAAGCCCAAACGTTTTGTGTTCCATTCAACAATTTGACCGTTCTGACCGGTCTGGCCTTGTTAATGGAAACACCCTATATCACGAGACTTTTGCCCCTACAGCCCGAATGAGTTCAGTTCATGTGTTGGTGCAACATGCAGTACAAAATAAAATGCTCGTGCATCAGATGGACTGTGTTAAAACGGCATATTTGAATGAGCCTATTGATTGCGATATTTTTGTTCAACAACCGAATGGCTATGAAAACGAAGGAGAAAATGGTGAAAAGCTTGTCTGTAAGCTAAAGAAATCTTCATGTGAGTTAAAGCGGAGTGGGAGGAATTGGAATATGATGCTGTTGCATAATTACTTAAAGAAAGGGTTACGCAATATTTTGCTGATCCATGTGTGTGTGTTTGCTTTGTTGGAGATGATGCAAATACGTGCATCATTAGTGTCATTTTGTTTGATGACTTGATTATTTCAGCAGCACTGTTGTTAAGTGTAAAGGGTCGTTTGAGTAATCGGTTTAAAATGAAAGATCTCGGTGCTTTGCTTTGGTTCTTCGGTACTCAGTTCAAATGCTCATTCATGGTGGTATCGAACACTACCATCTTTACCTCTATGATGCTAAGTTTACTATATCATCACCGACGACAAGCCGCTCGGGATCTTCAAAAGTCAGAATCCGACCTCGACGAGAATCGACTGCTGGAAACTAAGACTGGTGCCCTATGACTGCGAAGTTGTTTACAAACCAGGAAAACATACAGAACACCCTCTTCTTCTTCCGATTCTTCCCCCACCGACAACGCCACCGGAGCCAATATCAACTATTTGTGCACCAACCTCATCCCCAAAGGCCAAAGCTATGAAGCTAGACGAAGTGAAGAAAACTAAGAAAGAAACCGCTAGCGACTTTAGTCCTTTAACCAACGTCGTTCGACGTGGTAACGTCGTTGTTGTAGTAAGGGAATCGTCTCCGGATCTCCAACATTTTGTTTTTGTAGAAAAATCAAAGAGGATACGTAAAATAAAATGCTGGGTTTTGCTTCCTGGGTACTTGAAATAATCGCAATCTCAATGAGATTCTATTTAAGCTATGCCTATAGACTGTAATTACTCATTTGTCAGCCCATGGAATCGCTGGCAAATTTGCATCAATTCAAGCGTTGACTGTCAATTCTCCCCAATAATATAATCACTATTCAACAGTAAAATTTGAATTGTAAATCGATTTTATAAAGCGTAAACAATGAGAACGTATACATGTTATGGCTCAATAAGCAAATGCCAATTTTTAAATAAACATAAGAATGTATATAGCCTATTTGTGCTAGACTTGAAAGTATGGGCTGCCTTTGGCTGACTGTCTTATGAAATTTAAAGGAAAGATGAATTCAATAATATTTAACGTAAGTATATTGCTGTAATTAAACCACATGTCTAGCGTTTTGTCGCGTATAAAATTTATGAAAGTAGTTGCAACTCAATTCGCTCGCATTTGATCGCCAATCTTCATTGGATATTGACTTTCAATGACTCGTATCAACGTTGAGCTGCCGGTTCAAATTTTGACGAGAGATGACAAGAGTTTTTGCTCGTTCGAGCAGTAATATCCAGTCAACTTTATAAACTCTCCGATGCATGCAACTATATGAGCGCCCTGTTCTCGTTCGACCGGGGAATGAGAATTGGCAAAACTTTCATAGTTTTCATGCAAACATGCATGACCAACCGACGCATTGCCAATAAAATTTAAAGCAAAGCTAAATTGGCAAGTTAAGTATGATTTAATGGTCTCAAATTCAATTAAAGATAAATAATTTCTATTTTTTATGAATTAAGTATCTCTTCTATATGGTGTATATATATATATGGGCATTTGCAGAATTTCCTGCCTGGCAATAAAAATTACTTGTCTGCAATGGATTATATTGTTGGCGACCCTGCAATTCCGGTGCAGCGCTCTAACCGACTGAGCTATACAGAGGCCATAGTTGTCGAGCTCTAACCACAGGTTCATGTGTATATATGTGTATATACTAGAGTACTGCCATGTTAGGTTATTGCGGATAAGTATCAAGATTTTGTTGAACTACTAACTATTATTCACTCGATTGAATAATAGTTGAAGGGTCTTGTCTATTCGCAGCTATTCCTGGTTAGGTCTCAGCTCAGTAACAAATGATAAATTTCCTCTATCGC